CGATGAGAATCAAACTCTAGGACACGAGGCCACGTTTTTTCCCAGGAAGACAACGACGAAAACTCGGATATTACAGTACCCCAGGATGAAGAAAACTTTGGTGTTTTAATTTTCGAGAAAATTTCGATTTAATTTTTTTGCCGGTGGGGGTTTTTTTTGAAAAACTTGATTTTATACGTTTTTGGTTTCAGAACGTGCTTGGAAACAAACCCCATCACGAATACGTACTGCAGGTCCCAAAATCGACAGGAGAGGGCAGCCACCGCCATAGCCCCAGGACAAAAATTGGGGAATTTACAATAAAAATTAAATAAAGCAATTTTGGAAATAATTTTTCAGTTTATCGCTCATAAATAATGTTAAAAAGGTGTGAGATCTGAGGAAACTAAAATTATTACCCTACTAGCAATTTAAACCGGTTTTTGAGGCAAAAGGCGGTTTCAAAGTGCTTTCGTATAATATGGCATCAATATTTTCAGAAGTATGGGGCGCAGCTCCAGCTTTTGACAGAAATATATTTTTTCCAAAATCAAATTGGCGTGAAGCTGGCCCTTCCATTCTATCTTCGGATTAATTTCCCAAGTTAAAGGTTAGCTTGAGATTCCAGCTCCTGAAAAGTGTGGCTGAACAAGAAAATTTTGGAAAGTTTGACTAAAAAGTCGAACAAATATCAATTCAAATGTATTTTAATTCATCATATACCATCTAAAATACGGTTCTGATTTCTCTATTCACATCAAAAAAGTCAAAAATGCGTACGCCACTTGAGATTCCAAGGACGTCTCCGATCCAAGTACTAATCAAGCGCACCGTTGCTTAACTTGCCAGATCGGACGGGATGGCGTGCTTTCAACGGGCTATGGGCGTACACACTCCCTTCCCTTTCCACTTTTGATTCCTTTCCCTGCAATTCCACCCAGTCCACGGCCGGGGCTACTTTTTCGAGATTTTCTTGAAAATTTCAGTCAATAATGACGTCACTAACACAGAAAAATTAGAGATTGTGTTTTTGGAGAGACCACACAGAAATAGCGTAAATTCCCCAGCCAAAAAGGAAAGGGTGGATCAGAGGTAAGCTGGCTCTTTCATTCTATCTTCGGATTAATTTCCCAAGTTAAAGGTTAGCTTGAGATTCCAGCTCCTGAAAAGTGTGGCTGAAAAAGAAAATTTTGGAAAGTTTGACTAAAAAGTCAAACAAATATCAATTCAAACGTATTTTAATTCATGATATACCATCTAAAATACGGTTCTGATTTTTTTATTCAAATCAAAAAAAGTCAAAAACGCGTACGCCACTTGAGATTCCAAGGACGTCTCCGATCCAAGTACTAATCAAGCGCACCGTTGCTTAACTTGCCAGATCGGACGGGATGGCGTGCTTTCAACGGGCTATGGGCGTACACACTCCCTTCCCTTTCCACTTTTGATTCCTTTCCCTGCAATTCCACCCAGTCCACGGCCGGGGCTACTTTTTCGAGATTTTCTTGAAAATTTCAGTCAATAATGACGTCACTAACACAGAAAAATTAGAGATTGTGTTTTTGGAGAGACCACACAGAAATAGCGTAAATTCCCCAGCCAAAAAGGAAAGGGTGGATCAGAGGTAAGCTGGCTCTTTCATTCTATCTTCGGATTAATTTCCCAAGTTAAAGGTTAGCTTGAGATTCCAGCTCCTGAAAAGTGTGGCTGAAAAAGAAAATTTTGGAAAGTTTGACTAAAAAGTCAAACAAATATCAATTCAAACGTATTTTAATTCATGATATACCATCTAAAATACGGTTCTGATTTCTTTATTCAAATCAAAAAAGTCAAAAACGCGTACGCCACTTGAGATTCCAAGGACGTCTCCGATCCAAGTACTAATCAAGCGCACCGTTGCTTAACTTGCCAGATCGGACGGGATGGCGTGCTTTCAACGGGCTATGGGCGTACACACTCCCTTCCCTTTCCACTTTTGATTCCTTTCCCTGCAATTCCACCCAGTCCACGGCCGGGGCTACTTTTTCGAGATTTTCTTGAAAATTTCAGTCAATAATGACGTCACTAACACAGAAAAATTAGAGATTGTGTTTTTGGAGAGACCACACAGAAATAGCGTAAATTCCCCAGCCAAAAAGGAAAGGGTGGATCAGAGGTAAGCTGGCTCTTTCATTCTATCTTCGGATTAATTTCCCAAGTTAAAGGTTAGCTTGAGATTCCAGCTCCTGAAAAGTGTGGCTGAAAAAGAAAATTTTGGAAAGTTTGACTAAAAAGTCAAACAAATATCAATTCAAACGTATTTTAATTCATGATATACCATCTAAAATACGGTTCTGATTTCTTTATTCAAATCAAAAAAGTCAAAAACGCGTACGCCACTTGAGATTCCAAGGACGTCTCCGATCCAAGTACTAATCAAGCGCACCGTTGCTTAACTTGCCAGATCGGACGGGATGGCGTGCTTTCAACGGGCTATGGGCGTACACACTCCCTTCCCTTTCCACTTTTGATTCCTTTCCCTGCAATTCCACCCAGTCCACGGCCGGGGCTACTTTTTCGAGATTTTCTTGAAAATTTCAGTCAATAATGACGTCACTAACACAGAAAAATTAGAGATTGTGTTTTTGGAGAGACCACACAGAAATAGCGTAAATTCCCCAGCCAAAAAGGAAAGGGTGGATCAGAGGTAAGCTGGCTCTTTCATTCTATCTTCGGATTAATTTCCCAAGTTAAAGGTTAGCTTGAGATTCCAGCTCCTGAAAAGTGTGGCTGAAAAAGAAAATTTTGGAAAGTTTGACTAAAAAGTCAAACAAATATCAATTCAAACGTATTTTAATTCATGATATACCATCTAAAATACGGTTCTGATTTCTTTATTCAAATCAAAAAAGTCAAAAACGCGTACGCCACTTGAGATTCCAAGGACGTCTCCGATCCAAGTACTAATCAAGCGCACCGTTGCTTAACTTGCCAGATCGGACGGGATGGCGTGCTTTCAACGGGCTATGGGCGTACACACTCCCTTCCCTTTCCACTTTTGATTCCTTTCCCTGCAATTCCACCCAGTCCACGGCCGGGGCTACTTTTTCGAGATTTTCTTGAAAATTTCAGTCAATAATGACGTCACTAACACAGAAAAATTAGAGATTGTGTTTTTGGAGAGACCACACAGAAATAGCGTAAATTCCCCAGCCAAAAAGGAAAGGGTGGATCAGAGGTAAGCTGGCTCTTTCATTCTATCTTCGGATTAATTTCCCAAGTTAAAGGTTAGCTTGAGATTCCAGCTCCTGAAAAGTGTGGCTGAAAAAGAAAATTTTGGAAAGTTTGACTAAAAAGTCAAACAAATATCAATTCAAACGTATTTTAATTCATGATATACCATCTAAAATACGGTTCTGATTTCTTTATTCAAATCAAAAAAGTCAAAAACGCGTACGCCACTTGAGATTCCAAGGACGTCTCCGATCCAAGTACTAATCAAGCGCACCGTTGCTTAACTTGCCAGATCGGACGGGATGGCGTGCTTTCAACGGGCTATGGGCGTACACACTCCCTTCCCTTTCCACTTTTGATTCCTTTCCCTGCAATTCCACCCAGTCCACGGCCGGGGCTACTTTTTCGAGATTTTCTTGAAAATTTCAGTCAATAATGACGTCACTAACACAGAAAAATTAGAGATTGTGTTTTTGGAGAGACCACACAGAAATAGCGTAAATTCCCCAGCCAAAAAGGAAAGGGTGGATCAGAGGTAAGCTGGCTCTTTCATTCTATCTTCGGATTAATTTCCCAAGTTAAAGGTTAGCTTGAGATTCCAGCTCCTGAAAAGTGTGGCTGAAAAAGAAAATTTTGGAAAGTTTGACTAAAAAGTCAAACAAATATCAATTCAAACGTATTTTAATTCATGATATACCATCTAAAATACGGTTCTGATTTCTTTATTCAAATCAAAAAAGTCAAAAACGCGTACGCCACTTGAGATTCCAAGGACGTCTCCGATCCAAGTACTAATCAAGCGCACCGTTGCTTAACTTGCCAGATCGGACGGGATGGCGTGCTTTCAACGGGCTATGGGCGTACACACTCCCTTCCCTTTCCACTTTTGATTCCTTTCCCTGCAATTCCACCCAGTCCACGGCCGGGGCTACTTTTTCGAGATTTTCTTGAAAATTTCAGTCAATAATGACGTCACTAACACAGAAAAATTAGAGATTGTGTTTTTGGAGAGACCACACAGAAATAGCGTAAATTCCCCAGCCAAAAAGGAAAGGGTGGATCAGAGGTAAGCTGGCTCTTTCATTCTATCTTCGGATTAATTTCCCAAGTTAAAGGTTAGCTTGAGATTCCAGCTCCTGAAAAGTGTGGCTGAAAAAGAAAATTTTGGAAAGTTTGACTAAAAAGTCAAA